TTAGGCAATCTTAATAAAGGTACATTACATAACTTTTCTTCAGTAAGGAAAACGCATGTTCTTGTTCTTTTCCCCAAACAAACCCTTTATCTTTTTTTCATGATTTCAGTTAAAGGGGGCAGCAACAACACTAAAATCTTTTACAAATCTCCTATAAAAACTTGTCAAACCATGAAAACTACGCATCTCACTTACACTTTTAGGTGTCGGCCACTCTTGAATAGCCATTACCTTTTCACTATCTACCTCGATTCCTTTTGCACTCAGGACATATCCTAAGAAAATGATGCGATCAATGCAAAATGTACATTTTTTCATGTTAGCATATAGTTGAAATTTGTGCAATGTGTCAAACACTTGCCTTAAATGCATGACATGCTCATCAATAGATTTGTTATACACAAGAATGTCATCGAAATAGACAACCACAAACATTTTTTCATGTTAGCATATAGTTGAAATTTGTGCAATGTGTCAAACACTTGCCTTAAATGCATGACATGCTCATCAATAGATTTGTTATACACAAGAATGTCATCGAAATAGACAACCACAAACTTTCCAATAAATTCACGTAAAACATGGTTCATTAAACGCATGAAAGTACATGGCGCATTAGTTAAGCCAAATGGTATAACCAACCACTCATATATGTTTTGTTTTAAAAGCAGTTTTCTATTCATCTCCTGGTTTCATTCTTATTTGGTGATAACCACTTTTAAGATCAATTTTAGAAAATACACAAGCACTATGCAACTCATCTAACATATCATCAAGTCGAGATATTGGGTGTCGATATTTTACCGTTATTTTGTTGACGGCACTACAATCAACACACATACGCCAACTACAACCTTTTTTGGGTACTAATAAGATGGGCACTGCGGATGGACTTAAACTTTCTCAAATGTGCCCCTTTTGTAAGAGCTCATCCACTTGCCTTTGAAGCTCTTTGGTCTCCTCGGGATGGTTCCTATAGGCTAGTCTATTTGGTATGGCAGCCCCAGGAATGAAGCCAATTTGATGCTCAATCCCTCTCAAAGGTGGTAAACCTTGAGGTAGATCATCGGGAAAAACATTGCTAAATTCCTGTAAAACTTCAACCACAACACTTGGCAAAGAAGGGCCAAGTTCGTTAGTT